ATATATATATATATATATATATATATATATATATATATTTTTTGGGTTTATAATATTTTAAAATTTTTGGACCATTAGCTATAGCTCCTTTCCCATAAACGATAGATGCGATGATTTACTTTTCGAGAAACGTCAAGGAAAGGAGCTTTGCTCGTGCAATTGTGGGTTTGGGAGCCTAGGGGCATCTATACCAGAAAAAGGAGCTTCTTCGCTCTTGCAATTGAGTTATTGCCACGGTTGTTGGGGTATATAGCAACGTTTTGAATCTGCAAGTACGACACCAAAAAAATTCGGTGGCATTTGTCATACCTACTTGCCAAAAGATTAATTGATTTAGATTTATCTTTATCTTCTCTTATTGTGAATGTTAACACTGATATTGTGAGATTTTATACTGGTCGGAGATGAGAACGAAACATTTTTTTATAAACGTGTGGAAACCTCTTCCTAATAGAATGCGTTTTAAAATTATGAGATTGTCGGCTATACGGAACAGGCCAAAGTGGATAACATTTATTAGCGGTGTACTTGGGGTATTACTAATAGTATTAGAGTCAGCCATCAAACGGGTTAATCTCTCTTTAGTAAACATGTTTTAAAACCGCGAGGTTGATGACTATGTGTAACAGGTAAAAGTAAACAATATCGACTAGTAAGGAGCTTGGGCTGAGTTTGATATGCTAGCAGTAGAGACATTAGACAAGTGTAAATGTGTGGAAACCTCTCCTTAGTAAACGTGTTTTAAGACTATGAGGCTCACGACGATTCGTAATAGGCAAAAACGGACAATATATGCTAGCGATCGATAAATATTCAATATTAATTATTAACAACGAGATCTATTATTACTTTTCACATACCGCCGAAAATTTCGAGTGAGTGCAAATTCTCCCCATTTATGACTTACCATGTGATCTGTTGTATAAATAGGCAAATGGTCCCTTCTATTATGAATAGCAATAGCATGGCCAATCATTGTAGGGATAATGGTGGACGACCAAGTTACTATTATTTTATTTTATTTTATAAATGGTTGCCTCCTAATTAATATATATATATATTTTGTGTAAATTTTGTATTAAATTAGTAGGATAAAAAATAAAATTATTCTAAAAAATAAGTTTCATAACGGTATAATCATAATTACGCGGAGAATATAACTTTAATTAATGTGGCTACTTCAAGAAATTTAAACTGCATGGAAATTTTGACTTAGTGGAAGGAAAGTTGACTGAAAGCGACTTTCAGTGGTCTTGTCATTACCTGATACTCATCACTCGATATTCTATAATAATGCGTATGGGAGATTGTGCCAAACATTTTATTGCTCCCATTTCTGCAAGATCGAAAACTGTGACTCCATGATTCTGTCCTCGTCTCCCGAACTGTTGGAAATGATCAGCTGATTCTGTTCTTGCTAGTAGCGTTCTTAAATCTACTGAGGTTCGACTTCAAGGTTTTTGTTTCTAAAGCTATTTCAATTCGTCTTCTGAACTTACTCGTTTCCGAGTTTTGTCGTTATTTTTTTCAGATTTGTTCCTTCGATCCTTCTAAAACGTTATCCGTTCTTGAATTTGGGGTTAGATTTTACCTCTTCGTGACCTTAAAACTTGTAAATCGTTTGGGTTTCGTTTGAAAAATCTGTGTCTCTTGCTTCCTTCTCGTATGTCCGAGTTAGGAACCCACACGTAAATGTAATTTAGTGTTCACACTCCAACGATCTATTATCATCTGTTTTGGGGCTTACGTTTTCTCTACCATTTGGAGATTTCTCGTTATCGTCACTGGTTTGTTGATTATTGTGCTCGATCTTAGATTAAGTGTTTTCTCCATGAAGAATAACATTGGGACTGATTAAAACCACGGATCTCTGCAGGATTTCGCTGTTGATTGACCATATATATAACCAGAGGGGATTAGATTGTTGGAGGTTAAAGAATGTATATGGTAGAGAGTAAAGAAGGTGCCATAGCATGTATGGTATTGTCGCTCTGCTTCTTGGGGACCTTCCCTGCACTTTTGACTCTCCTCGAACGACGGGGGCGACTTCCTCAACATACTTACCTTGATTACTCCATAACTAACTTTTTAGCTGCTGTAATCATTGCTTTCACACTTGGTGAGGTTGGAAAGAGCTCAGATGCTTCTCCAAATTTTATCCAGCAGCTTTCTCAGGTTGCTTTGATTATTTATTTACTCTTGGTTTCTTATTTAATTGCTTGGGATTAATGTTGTAACAGGTTTCCACACCCTTATAAAGAATGCTTCGTTTCCCTCTCCAACCGATGTGGGATCTCACAATCCACCTCCTTCGAGGACCAGCGTCCTTGCTGGCACTCGTTCCTCTCTCCAATCGATGTGAGATCTCACAATCCACCCACCTTCGGGGCCTAGCTTTCTCAACGGCACTTGTTCCTCTCGCCAATCGTTATGGGATCTCATAATCCACCCTTTTTTGGGGCCTAGTGTCCTCGCTAACACCCCGTCTAGTGTGTGACTCTGATACCATTTATAACAGTCCAAGTCTATCCCTGTCTGATATTGTCATTTTTGGGCTTTTCCTTTCGGGCTTCCCCTCGAGGTTTTAAAACGTGCCTGCTAAGGAGAGGTTTCCACACCCTTATAAAGAATGTTTCGTTCCTCTCTCCAATCAACATGTGATCTCACAATCCACTCCCTTTTGAGAGCATACGCTGGCACTCGTTCCTCTCTCCAATCGATAAAACCCTTCTTAATTTATTTTCTGATCTATATTGGTGACTAGAGGGGACTCTCTTATACTTTCTAATTCTGGATATATAAAGATGAACAACAAGAAATTTTCATTTGATGTATCCTACTTTTTTACCCAAGGAAGTTGATTTGATATGTTATTCTGTAGTCTTAAGACCTTCCTGTGATAGAGATGGTGCATGCCAAAGGAAGAAAATATTTGATTCCATTTAACTTGACCTGCTTGATGTTCATAAAACGAGTATGAAGGGCATCTGCAGTTATATTTGTGCAAGAATGATGAAAGTTTGGAGGCAATGAGTAATTGTATTCATGTTGTAATTGGTGCTGATTCTTCTTGTATGCAGGATAATTGGCCTTCTGTCATGTTTGCGATGGCGGGCGGTGTAGCATTAAGTCTCGGAAATCTTTCATCTCAATATGCTTGGGCATTTGTTGGTTTATCTGTTACAGAAGTGCTCATTTGTAGCATAATAGTAGTTATAGGTCTCCACCATCTTTGTTCCCACTCTATTTATCTCCATATGTCTCTCAAATATATGTGCCTGAAGTCTCGTGGGATCCCTCCTCTATGTATTGCTTGATTCTTTTTCTTTTCTTTTTTTTGTTAAAGGCTCAACATTGAACTACTTTCTTGATGACAAGATTAACAAAGCTGAGATCCTTTTCCCTGGCGTTGCTTGCTTTGTGATTGCGGTATGTCTTGGTTCTGCTGTTCACTCGTCCAACACGGCTGATAACAAAGCAAAGCTGAACAGTTTGTCGGCCAATTCCGATAAAGAGTTGAAGTATGTTTTCTATGTCTACCAATGTGTTTATTTTCGATATATTTCATATATTAGTCAACGTTATGATCTTATTCATATCCCCATAGTTGCCTGCCACTCAAATCCAAACTTTTGATTAGTTATTGTAACACTCCAATCCCACCACTAGCAGATATTGTCCTTTTTAATTTTTCCTTTGGAGTCCAGTGTTCTCGTTGGCACACCATCCAGTGTTTGACCCCTTTAGGGCTCAACGTTCTCGTTGGCACATAGACACTAAGTTATGATACCATCAATAACAACCCAAACCCACAGCTAGCATACATTGACCTCTTTCGATTTCTCCTTTCGGGGCCCATAGCCTCAAACACACTCGTTCCTCTCTCCAACCTATGTGAGATCTCACAGTTATATACGTCTAGTTTTAAAAGTTATGTTTTTAAATTCTACTGAGGTCGTGTTGTCGCAGTGGAAGTATTTGAACATATCCTTATGATAATGTTTACTTTCAAATCCCTTGTTACAGGCCAATAGATGTCGCTGGATTTCCTAGTAGGGGTAAAACTTCCAGAGCCATAGTCTACTACTCTCTTTGTGTTCATTCTTTGCAAGTTAAGTGAGGCTAACTTTTTGCTTTTAATTGGACTTGCATAGTTGAATCAACGGACCCGGAGAATGCTGATGGTTCGTCGCGAAAGGCCGAGGCTGGGACTGCAGATTTTCTTGTTCAGCTTGAAAACAGACGATCCATCAAGGTCTGTAATGCCACTGCAGTAATGAACAGTTTTTGTGTGGTTGAATTCCTGATGTATCGTATTCTGATATTGCATGATGCTGCAGGTGTTCGGTAAGGGCACAGTAATTGGATTGTGCTTAACTTTCTTTGCTGGTGTTTCCCTTTCTCTGTTCTCACCTGCATTCAATTTGGCCACAAACGATCAATGGCACACTCTAAAGAAAGGTGTGCCACACTTGGCTGTCTATACCGCATTTTTCTACTTCTCCGCCTCTTGTTTTGTCATAGCCATCGTTCTCAACATCATCTTCCTTTACCGCCCTCTACTTAACTTACCCAAAACAACGTTCAAAGCATATCTGAATGACTGGAATGGTAGAGGATGGGCCTTCTTGGCTGGATTTCTGTGTGGGTTTGGCAATGGTCTGGAGTTCATGGGCGGCCAAGCTGCTGGATATGCAGCAGCTGATTCTGTGCAGGTCAGTTTCTTCACCTCTCTATGATTGTAATATCATGAAACTCAATATTGACCACTCCGCTCAACTGGTCTTACAGTAAATTTAATTATATCAATACTTCAATACTATCTCATCCGTTGACTTTAAAATTTATGGAAGACCGAACAAGTGAATATCAAACACAAAACACAACATCTCTGACTTTGATACCTTGCTAAATCTCGAATGCACAAGATTCCTACACGAGATCAATACTTGAACACATACCATATTTTCTTGCTTCAATCTCGAATGATTGTTTCAGGCATTTCCACTCGTGAGCACGTTCTGGGGAGTTGTTCTATTTGGAGAATACCGTCGATCATCGAGGAGAACATACGTGTTGCTTGTCAGCATGTTGTTTATGTTTACTGCAGCTGTTGGGATCCTAATGGCTTCATCAGGACATCGAAAACCTTAGAAGAACCAGTCATAAGCGCATCGCAGCAGCAGCCAAGATTGTATAAATTGTTCCTTCTAATGTACTGAAAACTTTATGTGTGCAGTTTCTGTACAATAGTATGACGAACAAGAAATATTGTTCCTAGTTATCTCGTTGTGAAATATTGTTAGTGGAAGAATGAGTGATTGAATGGTTGATAGAAAGATGTATGAAGAGTAAGAATTTATATATATAAAATATAGAAAAATATTAAAATATGTATCTAAAAATCCGAAGAAAATCTGGTTTCAAACCTATAAACTAATCAAAACTAAATAAACTCTTAACTATAAGGAGATTTAATCAGATACTAACTGACAGCAATCTAAACAAACACGTGATCTTTAACACTTCTTTTTTGTTTAGATGCTGTGAACTCCAAACTTTTTCCTAAACACCTATCTTACTCCAATTATCTTTCTGTTTAGAGGTCGATCAACCAACTCCCATGTTTTGTCTTTCTCGATCATCGAAAGCTCCTCCTTTGAAGGTGCAGCAAACCAATAATTGTTTTTTTGGATCATGGAACCCTGCAGGCTCACAAACAACTACATTACACATTTGATAAATATCATATAGTAACCTTGTACTTCTCACAGGTGCATCATCAACCAAAACATCTTGTTATTCATCTTCAATCTTCTTGTAGTTCATCTTCAGACTCTTCTAACATGCTACCAAAGGTTAAATTGTTTGGTGCATTAGAAATCTAATTCACCTTCGTCGATTCTTCCCAATTTCATTGCTCATTTTCAACAAAATGAACATCTCGGCTCACAATAACACGACTAGTGTGTGCTTGAAAAACTCTGTAAACTTTGGATATAGTGCTATACCCAACAAAGATCCCACCTTCTGCCTTTTTGTCAAGCTTATCACGCTTGACTCGTGGAATGTAAGTGAAACAAAGACACTCAAATACTTTAAGGAACTTTAAAGAAGGTTTGTAACCATATCAAACTTTAAATGGTTTCAGGTCCTTCACAACTTTTGTTGAAATTCAATTTTGCAACTACACAACAGTTTTGGAAGATTCTTCTGATGAAACATGCATCTCGTCATCTCCATCATGAATCTATTCCTCTTTTCATTGAGGCTATTCTGTTGAAGAGTGTATGGTGCTGTCAATTGATGTTCAATTCCAGCCTCTTCACAAAACCTGTCAAAAGTTTTTGAATTGTACTCCTGTACTCCTTGCCATTATCTGATCTTACAGCCTGAATCAAGCATGCACTTTCATTCTCAACTCTAGCTTTGAATTTTCAAAATACACCCGCAACTTCTGACTTTTGCTTCAACAAGAATATCCAATACATTCTTGTTAGATCATCAATAAAAATAATGTAATAAAGATTACCATTTAATGATGGAGTTCGCTGAGGACCACAAAGATCAGTATGAACTCTCTGCAGTTTTTTTGAGGCTCTTCATGCCTGTTTAGAAAATGGTTGCCTATGTTGTTTCCCAAAATTACAAGCACGACAAGGAGGCATGTCATCATCAATGTCAGCGAGTCCTTCTACCAGCTTCTTTAATTGCATCTCAAGCAAACCTCGATGATGAAAGTGCTAAGTCTTTTGTTCCAAATCTCAGTGACACTACCTCTGGATATAAAAGCCATCTGCTCTTTCTCCATCGGATTTAGAGCAAAACTTTTTTCTTTCATTTTAACATGAACAAGTCTTTGCCACTAGCATCTTTATCAAGCACGGCTTATTCTCAAACAACACTTTATAGTCTTTATCAAGTAATTGACCAGCATTTAAGAAATTTTGATAAATTTTAGTTACAAATAAAACACTTGGAATAATTTTTGTACCTTCGTAACTTGTTAGAGCTACTGTGCCTTTTCCTTTGACTTCCAAGTGTTCACCATTGCCAATCTTCACTTTCTTGAGTTCAGTATCTCTTAATTCCTAAAAAAAAACTCCTTGTCATATGTCATATGATTTGTGCACCCATTCTCAATCAACCAGCTCTCACTTAATTCTTTGCGTGAGGAACAAGTGACCACAAACAATTGATCTTCTTCTTGACCAACCTGTCCTTTGACTCTGCAGATCACAACTTCATGTCCAAGTTGATTGCATTTGGAGCATTTGGCGTCAGGTCTTCTCCAACACTTGTATTGGCGTCAAGTCTTCTCCAACACTTGGATGACCTTTCTTCTCACAATGGCTGCAACGTGGATAGGATTTTTTTTGAAACCTCCTCCATTTGTCTTCTGATAATTGGTTTTGATTTTTTTTTTTTTTTATACCTGTTGTCTTGATGCTTAGTAAGACACCTTCAATCACCCATTCTTGCCTCATAGACCTCTCTTGCTCTTTTTCTTTTGTGGCATTCAAGAGCTTTGTAATAGAAATCTTTGACAAGTCTTTGGTGGTATTCTTCAGAGTGGTAATGGTGGCTTCAAACTTCTCTGTAAGAGGAACCAGTAGCTTTTCAACTATCCTATAATCATTTAACACAGAACCAACCAATCTCACATTGGTAGCAATGTTGAGAAGACCATTTGAGATACATGTGCAAATAGACCAGCCTTTGCCTTTGATTTTTTTTTGTTTTCTGATTTGATTTGTGCTATAGTGTGATTTGCTGGAAGTGGAGGGATCTCGTAATCCTCCAAAGATCAAAGCCTCCATATAAGTCTCCATACGAACTGCCCACATTTGATAGTTGTCTCCATCGATGACGGGTGATGCAACCGCTGAAAACCTGAATTCTCCTTCTATATTGATCTCACAGATCCCTTAAGACCGGGTGGTGCAACCGCTGAAAAACTGGATTCTCCTTCCATATTGATCTCACAGATCCCTTAAGACCAGGTGGTTGCACAAATCCCTTAAAAGACTGGGTGGTGCAACCGCTGAAAAACTGGATTCTTCTTCCATATTGATCTCACAGATCCCTTAAGATCATGTGGTTGCACAGATCCCTTAAGATTGGGTGGTGCAACTGCTGAAAAACTAGATTCTTCTTCCATATTGATCTCACAGAGATTTAGGTGGTTGCACAGATCCCTTAAGATTGGGTGGTGCAACTGCTGAAAAACTAGATTCTCCTTCCATATTGATCTCACAAATCCTTAAGACGCTCTGATACCAATTTGTTAGTGAGAGAGTGAGTGATTGAATGGTTGATAAGAAATTTATACGATGAAAGGCAAGAAGATATATATATATATATAGAATATAAAAAAAATATTAAAATATCTATTTAAAAATTTATAGAAAATCAGACCAATAAACAAATCAAAACTAAATCAACCACGAGATTTAATCAATACTAACTTACACGTGATCTTTAACAAATATAAATAAAATTTTTAAAAAAATGAAATTAAATATTTGGTTAAAATAGGTAGATTATAAAATATTATTTTATTTTATTTAATTAGTTAAACAATAGCTAATATCTATTTTATTAATAATGTAAATGGAATAACTGAATACTTCAAATTTTTTAGAACTAAATTAATTTGTTAATTAGATTTGGTTAATTGAAAAGTGTAAATTGCTTCTTGTTTTTAAACTTTAAAATATTCTATTTTAATTTTTGATATTTAAAAGAAAACTGTTAATTCTCATATTTATTTTGATATTAACAAATTAATGGAGTTTTGAATTTTAGGGATGAAAATAAATATTTTAAAAATTTGGAGATAGAAAATAGAATAAAAAAGGGAAAGATTTAGACCTAATTAAAATGGGTTAAATCATATTTTTTAAGATTAGTTTATTATTAGGTCTATATGGCCAAGCCTTGTAATTAAATTACTGATTCGAACACGTCAACTGAGATTTTTGGAGTATGAGATGTTCAAACAGTGTTCATCTTTCGGATTTACTGGCTTCCCATACTGTGAAGCCTCTAGTTTTTTCCGATTTTGTTGGAACTGTTTCATGAAGACATCACTCATCTCCGACTGTAGGGTAAGATTTTCTCTGTTTGGAAGCTTGAGCTTAGAACTGAGTTGGATCTTTTCGAACTGTTGTTTTCTCTTTCTTCCATCTTGTATCCCCGAGTTTGGAATCCTTTTGCGAATTTAACCTGGATTCAGACTCCAGCGATTTAAAGGTTCCTATGCGTTATCTTTTCTGGGGATTATGTTATATTGTTTCTACAGTTGTTGAAATTGAAACCCGATTTCAATTTACTTCAAATTTCATTGTTCATAGGTTTTTTTTTTCTACGATTTGGTATAATTCTCGTTGTGTCACTGTTTGATTTGATCTCGCATGTTTTCTCATTGATGGAAATGGGTATTGATTAATCATCATTCTGTGCAGGATTTCTTTGGTATTTGATAATCGCTCACCATATTACCAGAGTGGGCTAGGATTCTTGTAAGTTGAAAGATGGATATGGTGGAGAGTAAAGCAGGTGCTATAGCATGTATGATGTTGTCGCTCTTCTTTCTGGGGACCTTCCCTGCACTCTTGACACTTGTTGAACGGCGGGGGCGTCTTCCTCAACATACTTACCTTGATTACTCCATAACAAATTTTTTAGCTGCTGTAATCATTGCTTTGACTCTTGGTGAGATTGGAAAGAGATCACAAGACAGTCCAAATTTTATCCAACAGCTCTCTCAGGTTGCTTTCATTTATTTACTCTTGAATTTTCATTCAGCTTCATTGGCTTGGTTCAATATAGACTGATAAGACACTTCCAAGATCTGTCGGCTATTCTCTTGCCTTAGGATCTTCAGATTTGAGATGTTAGTGTGAGATCCCAAGTTGATTGGAGAGGAAAATTAAACATTCCTTGTAAAAGTGTGGAAACTTCTCCCTGGTAGACGCATTTTAAAACTGTGAGGTTGACGGCAATACGTAGCGGGCCAAAACAGACAATATCTACTAGCAGTGGGCTTGGGCTTGGGCTGTTACAAATGATATCAGAGCTAGGCACCAAACGGTGTGCCAGCGAGGACGCTGGCCCCCAAGGGGGGTGGATTGTGAGATCCCATATCAGTTGGAGAGGGGAACGAAACATTTCTTATAAGGGTGTGGAAACCTCTCCCTAGTAGATGCGTTTTAAAGCCATGAGAGTGACGGCAATACGTAACGGGCCAAAACGGACAATATCTGCTAGCGGTGGGTTTAGGCCATTACAGTTACCCATAATCTCTAGAACTATCTGTGGTAGAAATGATGTGTACCGAAGAAAGAAAAGATTTGATCCCATTTAACTTGATATATCCAGAGTTCCTAAAACGAATATGAGGCGTTTTTACAAGTAAAGCTGCAAAGAAATTGTGGGCAAAGTATCATTTGTAGCCATGATTATTACTGTCTTGTGTCAACTAAACTTGGTTGCATTCCTTGTAAATCATACGTCCTTCATTTAGGTTGAACTTCATGTTATCTTATGAATTCTTGAAATATGTAACTTTTTCTGAAGAATTAAGATGCTCCTTTCAGTCTTTCTATATTGCAATACCCAATTTGCCTGCTGATTTTGTGGTAATTGTTAATGCATTCTTGTTAAATCACGTTGTAAAAGGTATCTAATCTTCTAAACTACTGTATTCAGGATAATTTGCCTTCTGTTATGTTTGCAATGGCTGGTGGCGTGGCACTGAGTATCGGAAATCTTTTAGCTCAGTATGCTTGGGCTTTTGTTGGTTTATCTGTGACAAAAGTGATTTCTTGTAGCATAGTGGTAGTTATAGGTCTCTATCTCTATCTCTATCTCAGCTGCATTCTGCCCCTTACTAAATTAACCAATCTGTTGATGTTTTGTTACTCAATATGTTTATGAAGTTTTATGAGATTCATCCTTCTGGTTTTGTTTTTGTTTTTGGGTAAAAGGCACGACTGTGAATTACTTTCTTGATGACAAGATTAACAAAGCCGAGATTCTTTTCCCTGGGGTTGCTTGCTTCTTGGTTGCTGCATTTCTTGGCTCTGTTGTTCACTCATCCAACATGGCCGACAACAAAGTAAAGTTGAAAAGTTCATCTGCTGATTCTGAACAGTCCATGTATGTTTTCTTTTTGTATGAATATGCTAATCCGTAAGACATTTTCTTGTTTAGTTCATGTTATGGGCCCTTGAATCCAAATTTGTGATTGTTTTATATGCATTTGGTTGTTTTCGAAGCTGTGTTTTTGAATTTCGCTTTAGTAGTGTTCTGATATTAACTTCCAATTCTGTTTCGACAGGGAAACGAAAATCTCTCTGATTTTGAATATGGGTAAATCTTCTTGATCTATGAAGTGTACAACTTACTTTCGGTTCATCCTTTGCAAGTGATATAACTGCTGAATTCTTTTGGTTGTGTATAGTTGAACCAACGAACCTAGAAAGTGCTGCTTATTCTTCACGAAAGGCGAAGGCTGGGACAGCCGACTTTCTTGTTCAACTCGAAAATAGAAGATCCATCAAGGTCTGTAATACTGATATTGTAGCATTCCTCAAATATTGCTTCGCTTTCTCTTTTATTCTTACACGTACCTAGTGGCTGCATACTTGCAGGTGTTTGGTAAGAGCACACTGATTGGGCTGTGCTTAACTTTATTTTCTGGTATTTCCATTTCTCTCTTCTCCCCATTATTCAATTTGGCCACAAATGATCAATGGCACACTCTAAAGGAAGGCGTCCCACATTTGACCGTCTATACTGCATTTTTCTACCTCTCTGCCTCTTGTTTTTTCATAGGCGTCATTTTAAATGTCGTCCTCTTTTACCGCCCTATGCTTAATTTGCCCAAGACAAGTTTCAAGGAATATCTAAATGACTGGAATGGTAGAGGATGGGCCTTGTTGGCTGGAGTCTTGTGTGGGTTTGGCAATGGTCTGGAGTTTATGGGCGGTCAAGCAGCTGGATATGCAGCATCAGCTTCTGTGCAGGTCAATTTTTTTCACCTCTTTTGACTGCACTCCAATCCCATATTAACTCCATACTGATAGCTCCTTGTTTCAATCTCGGATTCGGCTGTTGTTCCAGGCACTTCCACTTGTGAGCACGTTTTGGGGAATTGTTCTGTTTGGAGAATACCATAGATCGTCGAGGAAAACATACATGTTACTTGTCAGCACCTTGGTTATGTTTACAGTAGCTGTTGGGGCCCTAATGGCTTCATCAGGACATCGACATCAGGCTAGGACTGCAACCTTTTGAACCAGTTTGAAGGAAATGATAGCTTCTGGTGGCTGCTCTGTGTAGTCATTCCATTCTATGGAGGTCAGCTTCTCGCATGTCAGCATGTTGCTTATGTTTACAGTAGCTGTTGGGACCCTAATGGCTTCATCAGGACATCGACATCAGGCTAGGACTGCAACCTTTTGAACCAGTTTGAAGGAAATGATAGCTTCTGGTGGCTGCTCTGTGTAGTCATTCCATTCTATGGAGGTCAGCTTCTCGCATGTCAGCATGTTGCTTATGTTTACAGTAGCTGTTGGGACCCTAATGGCTTCATCAGGACATCGACATCAGGCTAGGACTGCAACCTTTTGAACCAGTTTGAAGGAAATGATAGCTTCTGGTGGCTGCTCTGTGTAGTCATTCCATTCTATGGAGGTCAGCTTCTCGCATGTCAGCATGTTGCTTATGTTTACAGTAGCTGTTGGGACCCTAATGGCTTCATCAGGACATCGACATCAGGCTAGGACTGCAACCTTTTGAACCAGTTTGAAGGAAATGATAGCTTCTGGTGGCTGCTCTGTGTAGTCATTCCATTCTATGGAGGTCAGCTTCTCGCATGTCAGCATGTTGCTTATGTTCACAGTGGCTGTTGCGGTCCTCATGGCTTCATTAGGACATAGACATTGGAAAATCATTAGGGAAAGCTTGTAAAAGCTCAGCCCTTCTTGCCAATTAGAAAGGAATCACATAATGTTGAAGCTTCTTGTACTGTTGTAGAGGAAAAAGAAATGTTGGAAGAATGAATTCCATTGTTAATGACTGTAATTTGAGGAACATCTGTGCTGAAAGTTGCAGCTTCTGAAAGTCGAAACACTCGACTTCGTTGGTGGATGATATCTTGAATGTAGCTACCAATCGTTCGGATGTGATTTAATAGAAGATTTGAACTTTTAAGTTTTTAGTTGAGTATTTACAGTGATATTAGAAATTCCAATTAAAGTTTAGATCGTTCACACCAATTCGACCTATAGATCGGCGATTGTCTGACCTATAGATTGGCAATGAGACAATTTATTGTTCTTGTTCTTCATCAGTTATTGTTCTTGTTCTAACTCTTTTGAAAAAGTCATTTAAATTACTTAATAGAATGACCATTCTCCACTACACCTACAAATTTTGAACTAGGGAAAAAAAAAAAAGTAGAGGGTAGACTTTGACCAAGGTAAATGACGTGGCATTCCAGCTAGAGTGGGGAAAGGGCCGTATAATCGTACACGTCAGCATTAGTGGGCCAGCCGAAGGGAGCAGTTAAGGTTGGCGCGAAACGGAGCCATTGTTCGTTACTAATGGAAACTGAAAGCCGCGAGACTGTCGGAGCGCCTTCCATCTTTTATATTCTTTCTTCCCCCTCTCTGAAACCCTAATTTTTGGTTTCGCCCTTTTTCTTTTTCTCCGATTTGTTTTTGCTGTTTGTTTTTTCTTGTTTTCTCCTTCCAATGAAAGACAACGAATCTTGGAAGTCGGTTCCTGCATTGTTGTGCCTGCCGGGAACGGATTTCCGGGTATTAACGAAACTAATCTTTCTCTGTGTTCTTTTCTTTTGCCTAGATATTTTTGTTGGATGGTTCTTGCTTCTTGACGTTGATCTTTAATTGAACACAGGCTAAATCTCCATGGCTTTCGAGGATTTTTGTCGTCAGTGTCGCTTCCGGCGAGATTTAGCGGCAGTGGTTAGGTTTTGGAGTTAATTGGAACGCAAGGGGTTGCTTCTTGCGTGTTCTGATCCAAGTGAGTTTCTTATGAACTTCGGTTTTGTTTAGCTGATGATGCATGTCCATTTTAAAAAAAACATCAGTGTTCATTGCTGAAAAGGGCTATATTTCGCTGATCCTCACGTTTGTGGTTACCGATTGATTGATCGACTCCCCGTGTTGTCTCCTTCCTTTTTTTAGTTTTTGTCCCCGAGAATGGAAGAACCTATTCCATTTATTCTGTTGTTTTCTTAAAAACTTATGCAGAACAGCATATTGCAAGCCATATAGTCTCTAATTATATAGCTATTGAATTGTCTAAAGGAGCAAAAGCTGCATTCATGGTTCTTATAAAAAATCCTGTTGCTCCTGATTGAAGCCAAAGCAACTCACATTTAGAAACGGATTCAGGATCTATTGGTGGAAGTGGGAGAAAGCTTGAAGTAGGGTAAACTTGAAACTATTGAAGAAGGCGAGAACAATAGAATATATGGCAGCGACGGGTAGATGTGAAACAAGCTCACATTCAACAAAACAGCCAGATATTATAGGTTTAGGCAGTACACATTCTGAAGATACTGCTGGGGAAGGATTTTCACTTTCCCCAACAGGGCAGCTGGCGTATGGGTCTTCATCATGTATAAACTTGATGGAATTGTCAGATCTCGTTCAAGTGGACGAAAATGTTAACCGACCCGAAGGAGGCACAATTTGCTTGGGAAATCCTGATCACGATGTTTACCAGCTTCAATTTAAAGATGATGAGAGCGATGTTTCCAGCCTTTGTTCTGCCAAATCAGAGAAGAGTAGCGGTTCTCAAGGTCCCACGTCTGCATCTCAAGTTTCTGATATTACCCATGAGTCTGGTGGAAATGTTATGTCTCCAACCCAGTCCCCTCCTCTTCAGACAATGGATCGTGTGGGAGGATATGAACCATATGATCCGTTAAGAATTCCGTCTGCAGTTTTCCAAAGAAGTAGATCAACCACTCCATTGGAATGGAGTATTGCTTCAAATGAGTCCTTGTTTAGCATTCATGGTGGAGACGATAGTTTCTCCGGAGATAATTTGTCGATGTTGAGTGATTTAGGGAAGTCAGACGAGTTGCTTGTATTTAACTCAGCACCTGCAGTTATCACGTCAAGAGAAACTGAAATGAAGAGTGTCGAATACGAAGAGGAGCCTAAAGTGGCAGATACCACAGAATATAACATTGAGGATAGAGAGGGTTTGGTTGCAGAAGATCTAAGTGGAAGAAACGTACTGCCTCCTGCATTATCATCGAGTTCCTCTAGCAGATCTCGCCACTCTGAAAGAAGTCAATGCAGCTCAAATTCCTTCGCTTTCCCCATGTAAGTCTTTGCTCATTATCTATTTGCTAAAAAATCATTCTTGGAATTCATGTTTTCCAACTTCATGTTTACTGTCACTTCACTATGGCAACTTGTTAAAACATTAGGTTCTCGACCGTTTCAAATTCTTATGCCTACGCGTTGAACTCAAAGAAGAAAAAAAAAAATTGCTTGCTTTCGATTATTCTATAAAGGAACAGGCCTTCCCAGTGATACCAGTTCATAATGCCTTGGCCTTCTGCCTGCTTAATAGTCATCATGTGGTTTGCTTTTAGACTACTGTCTCTTTTCGTTTTTTCACATCTAACAAGCACGAAGATAGTCATCATGTGGTTTCTTCTTAGCCTTCTGCCTGCTTACCAGTTCAACATGCTTAACTATAGCAACTGGTTAAGGCATTAAATTCTTGACCAAAAGGTAAGAGTTTCAAACTCGTATCCCCACCGGTTGAACTGAATGGTGGGGGAAAAAAAAAGAAGAAAAAACTTGCTTTAGATTATTCGACCAAGGAATTGACATTCCACGTGAATACCAGTTCATAATGCCTTCTCTTAGCCTTCTGCCTGCTTAATCGACATCATCTGGTTTCCTTTTAGGCTAGTATCTATTGTCGTTGTACGTCCAAGAAGTACCTTTTCTTCCAAGCTCCTTATCTTTTCTTCATGAATTTATTACAGAGATCTTAGCTTACCAATTCTATGAGGTCGATGTCTCTTTGTTAGATCATTATCATCTGGAAACTACGTTGATATTGTCAAAAGAAAGTATAAGCATGAAATGAACCAGTACTCATTATCTGCAGTTTGGCCGATGAGGAGGCTCAGGATGGATCTGTGCTTGCGGATGATAAAATAGAAGGTGCTCCAGTCTCTACAAAATCTCATGCAAACTCTTGGTTTCCCTGCTGTTCATGTTCTTGTTACAAATGGAATTTCTATTCACGTTCTTGTTGCAAATGGACTTGCTGTTCATGTTCGTCTTGTTGCACATGGAACTGCTATAGTTGTAATTTTCGTCCTCACTGTCATTTTTGTCCTCGATGCCGTATTATTTACCCTTGCCATTTTTGTCGTGGTTAAGTGGACAATGTCGCAGAAAAGACAGTGTCTATGAATATTTTCTTGATTGTTCATATTAGCCTGTTTAGGCATTTAGAAACAGGGTGAGTGATAAATGTAACATACTGCCACCCAGCATAGTGAATCCCCCTCGTTCAGGAGGGCTTCACACAAACAAACTCATTCTTAGCGGTTTAAGTTATGGTTTTGATCCATAAAATCTCCAGCTGAGAGCCATTCAAAAATCTCTTTCAAGACATGACTCACTCTACAAGGTAAAGAAGATAATGAAGGTATTTAACAAAGGATCTCTTTACTTAAAAACACCAAGTTCTCTATGTTTCCTATTTGAAAGCTCCCCAAATGTTTGATGGGGTTGACCGACAAGGATGGTGGCCACACAACATCACGAAAAAGAACCAGAATTGGGATTGACAACTATATGTCTTAGTGGGTGAGCCACATTTTTCCCACCAGCATGCTTCACAAACTCTGCTGGCGACAGAAACTTCCCATGGCATACACACATTATCCTCACTTCCTCCCCTTTCCCATACTTGTAAAGAATCCCTTCCACCCTTCTCCCATCAGGCCCATCCCCTATTGTGAACACACAAGGCATGTCTTCCATTGACGACGTCCCCGTTTCTCTCCCACTGTTCTCCCCCAAATCAGGCTTCGTTTTCGTCTCTGCTTTGGAACTGCCCAATGGATTCTCACACATCTTCGATCCTGAAGAACCTCCAGCCTCTTGGTTGCCTTGCTCTTGCGAGGAGCTTCTTGCTTCGCCGTAACTGCTTGATCCTGCAAGAAGATGAACAGCACTTTACAAATAATGCAAATAATCCCTTCAGAATGTATTCGCTCTGAATAGCATTGAAAACTTAACTAAACCTAAAACATAATACTGATAAAAGGAGGACAATGGCCAACTTTATTGTAAGCGATCCAACTTCACTCACAATGGCCTTCAAAGATATTATCCAAAAACCCAACGAATAACCTTGTTTTCCTATTATTTGAAACTAATCAAATCTAAGACACTAAGTAAACAAGGCCGGAATCATCATATATACACATCGGCGGTGCTACAATTCTGTTTTATTGCAATAAACTCGTAAGCAGTAACCTTGGTGACCCCGTAAAGAAGTTTTGTATGTTAGAGAGAGGTTTCTACACTTTTATAAGGAATACTTCGTTCCCTACTCCAACCGATGTGGGATCACACAAGTATGCAACTTTTTCCAAGCACCAAAAGCTCGCTAAGTCAAATACAATCTCATGGATGGCCTTAAGAACAAGACTTGAACAGTATAGGTGGAAGGAGAGAGTTTCATTGTTCAGGAATACAGAACTTGATATGCTTAAATGATCTCTTACTTTCTTGCAAAATAGGCCAATATTGCTGTAATGTTTACTGTACCACTTCTTAATCTTAGTCCATTTGTCACATTTCAATATTTACTATATAAGACTTCCTTATCACTCCGGCTTTTGGCTAAAACAGAATGAGCGATTCAAATTCGACGCGGATCGCTCCATCTAGTCGTCACCGGAAATCATTTTGATTCAAAACTGTTGGTCAAACCTGAGTCAGAAGCTCTAGCTAAAGGTATCAACTAACTACTTGTGCATATTACATAGCTAAGGCGCTGAGAAAAAAAAAAGCAATGGCCAGACAGTTCCAATGCGCCATATATGAGCTTGGGTGCTTTATTTTGCCTATGCCTATGATTTAAAAGTACCTTTCAGATCATGAATTGCAAGCTAAGAAATGGAGTTCTATCATGAACTATGCCAACATTTTCAAACAAATAGTAACATTACAAGGTGAAGAATGAGCAACCTTGGATGTGTTTGCTGTCCAATTCCGACATCCCCGACGAGCTTCCGCCCTGTGATTCGGCGGAGCACTGAGAACCAGGCTGTCCGAACCCCGGTAAACCTCTGCTGCCGCCGCCACCGCCCGATGTACAACCACCTTTCCCTTTGACAACTTCATCCACAATTCCGCTGATAACAGCCTGTCGAGCACCAGCAGCCCACGTTGTCGTCCCAAATGGCGGTGCCACTGTTGTCAAAACACCCGAACCAACCCTTTTCTCTCTCAAATTCAATCCAGCAAGGCCTCCAATTTCACGCCTCTCTTCTTCAAAACACCCACCACTCCCCATCCCAATTCCATCCTTATTCCTCTGCTTCTCAAACCTCCTCCTCTTCGCCTCCATTCGCCTCAACGTCTGCAATTCCTTCCTCTTCCTCCACTCCTCTTCCGTCTCCGGCGGAAGAGACGACGTCCGAATAAGACCCGGGTACGATACCGCCGTCGGAGTCGATGCCTCGTCGTCCCTCAAACGCATCGTCCCAGCAATAGACGACGACCGAACAAGTATCTTAGAATTCTTGTCAACCCCAAATCGACCCCCAAGTGAAAGCCCAAGATTCAGCTCAATCTCCTCTGCATCACCCTCTTCATTAAACGCCCCAATTTGGGGCTGATGTGAATTTCTACACAGAAATCTCTGCAACAGATCTGTTGGGTACTTTTCAGTTTGCAGAGGAACCTTCTCCATTCCTCTACTTCCTCCTTCGTTGGCTTCCCCCATCGTTCAATTCAAAACAGAGCGACCCAAAATGTTTATAATAAACCATCACGATCTTGTTTATTAGCTAAACCCATAAAGAATACAGCAAGATATGATGAATCAAAACAAAACCCAATACTCAAACTAGCAGAAAAAGCACATCAAAATATGATCTCAGATCACATTTCCATTTAAAAAATGAGAGAAAGAAGATGAAAAAGCTTTCCATTCCAACAATGATTCCTCAAATAGTTGAAATAAAAATAAAAAATCTGGAGGGAAATCAAAATATGAACAGTGTTGTAAAAGATCTCCAACAAAGTGGAACAGCAAAGGAAAGAAGGAGAAAAAAAATTAAAGAAAGAGGGCGCAAAAATAATTGACGAGTGAAAGAGAAATTGAAGGAAACAGAGAAGCGGAGAGAGGAAAAAGGAGGAACTTTTTCTCTCCTCCCCCCATGGAAATTTTAATTTTTTTAATTTTTTTTTTTTTAAAAAAATGTTGTACCGAAAATACCCTCCAGGAAGAAAAATGCCTGCAGGGGACAAGTGGCATCCTAAGACGTAGTAGATGGACACGTGTCCGACCTGACACAAAATTTCTTCATCTTTTTAAAAAACTCCGCTTTCGTCCTTTTGGCGTGCCTACCAACAAATTTTCATTTAAAGACACGTGTCGAAAATATAGCGAATAATCATAAATTCCACGTATAGGTCAAAGCTAAACGTCTTGACTGTGCGACACGTGGGCATATGGATATGGGCGACGAAACGGTGTTTGGTTTTTTCCTCGGCTCTCTCTATCCTTTACCACGCGGTCAAATAAAACCCGCTAGAAGTCAACGAGAAATCAAGCGATGGATCGGCGAGGAGATTCGGAAAAACAGGGACCCACATGAGGCAAGTTGCAAGGTTATTTATTTAAAAAAAATTTAATATTAAATTGCCAAGTTGGGAGAGGGGCCCGCGGGTAATGTTCGGTGATGGACACGTGTCGAGGTGGGTGAGGTTGGGAAATACTTTAGAGCGTGTCAATAATCAACTTGTTGAATGCGACGGCTCGGCTGTTCCTTGCCAACTTGCTGACACTAAGCATGTCCTTCTGTCGGAAAGCAATTAGTTTAATTAATTTTATTTATTTATTATTATTTTGCTTTTTTTTTTATTTTTTTTAATTTTATTTATTTATTATTATTTTGCCTTTTTTGATTCCTCGAGTTCTCACTATTTTTGTAGTCTTATCATCAGAATAATCTTTCCTTCTTTTATCAGACAGGAAAATCGTGCCAAATATATTTTTTGCTTTATTATAAAGTTTATTAAAATTATAAATTTAACTTCTTTCCATTAAAGTAATTATGAGATAAATTTCACTATTTATTTATTTATTATTTAAATAAAATCACTTTTATAGACATAATTTAAACTAATTAATTTGTTTTGATTTTATATCCTCTCTTAATATTATTATATGAAATTGCAATGGAAAATTGGATGCGAAAAATTATAAAAAAAGCTCCCGGCGAGGATCGAACTCGCGACCTTTCGCTTACGAAGCGAACGCACTACCACTATGCTACGGAAGCGTTTGTTGGCAGGCTTGTTTATAAATATTTTATAAAGAGTGAAATTTATGGTTTCTACTTCTATTTTTCTTGGTACTGCGACAGAACCCGCCCTCGCTGTGCGGGGGCGGCGGCAATGTGTGGAATTGCTTTGGTCGTTTCTGGCTGTCGCCTTGATTTGTCGTCTCTACATGTAGACGCCAGAGCTCCGTCTCCTCATCCAGTGCACGAGCATGTAAATATTCTTGGTCTCGCTGTTTTCTTCTCATTCGTTATAGTTTGGATATATTGCTGTGGCGCGAATTCAAATTTGGCTCTTAACACTTTCTTTGTGATTCTGGATTGATTTTAGTTGCGTTTTCTTGCTCCAGCTCGAGTTTTCGATAGATGATCTTGAAGCGGCATTGCGGAGAAGGGGCCCCGATAGCTTAGGCGGAGTGAAGGTTTTTATTTCCTCAATATCTTCTAATCCTGGTGAAGAGCAGCAGTTTGAGTGTTTTGTTGAGAGGGTTGATTGTGGAGTTGCATTTCAGAATCAGAATGATCAACACGAGATGGAAAATGGAAGGATTCTCCATTCTCATGACAGTTGTAGTAGTCTCATCTCTGGTGCGCAGTTTTATTTTCTGGGGGCTACATTACAGCTTAGAGGGCTTAACCCTATTGTTCAGCCACTGATGGATGCTTCCCGCAATGTTCTTGTTTACAATGGTAAACTAAATGCAGAAGTTTATATACTCAAGTTTTAAATTTGGCGTTCTTCTTATTTGTTCATTAAATTAAATATACTTTTTGAATTTGGCATAATATTGATCACTAATTATGTTCAAACTAAATCTAAGGAACTATATTAAATTTCTTTCATTTCATTTCATTTTCTTTTCAAAAGGTGAAATATTTGGAGGAATACACGTTGAGTATCA